GGGAAAGAGGTAGGGCCAGGGGCAGGAGCATTTCACATCACTAACCTAACTTGGGAAACTGCAAGGGACCATCTTCAACTGGCCTTAAGAGGAAGGCCAAGTGGATGATGGGAGAATCCACAGGCCAGAAAGGAGAGGAGGAAAGGGAATGTGGCTGGGAGAGGGCAACAGCCCCTTCCCTTTCTGGGCACAGGAAGGCAGCCAGGGCACCACGTCCAGGCAGTGACCTCACAAGGACAGCACAGTTTTTGCAGCTTAAGAGATCACCTACCTGCCCCCCACCCAGCTACTCATTCTGCTCGCTGGCAGGTGTAGGGCCACTCTCCAGCCCTGAGGGAGTGGACAGCTCTGCAGCCTGGGGCCCTGCCTCCTCTTCTGTGTCTCCTCCCTTGGAGGCAGCACTAGCCTCTGCCCCCTTGGCCTGGGGCTCCTGGCTCTCAGGGGTGGCAGCCTTCCCTTCCTGGGCAGTGCCTTCCTGGATGCAGGCACCGATCTCTCCCTGCTCCTGCTCTTCCTCTGTGGGTGAGGAGGCAGACGAATCACCCCCACCCTCCTTCCGATTTCTCTTGAAGGACAGGGCACTCAATTTGAAAGGCTTCTTGAATGAGAATTTCTTCTTCTTCTTGGGGGTCTCCTTGGTGGGGGCGTCCCCCTTGGCCTCAGCGCCCTGGCTAGGAGGTGCTGGCTCGATGGCATCGCCAGTGGCCCCGGCTGCCTCCTCTGTTCCGTTCACGGGTGGTGACTCCCCTTCACCCTTGGGGGATAAGTCTCCATTGCTTTTCACGTGGCCATTCTCCTGCAGAGCAGAGGAGGCAGCAGTAAGGGCCAGGGCTCTACTACCCCCCTCACCCCAGTCCGCCTCTGACCCCTTCCAGACAACGGGGACCCGAGTCACTCTACTGCAACCCGAGAGTCTGGCTGTAGCCTCAACCCACACCCAGGATCCCGTCAAACATTATCCTGCCCCTCCAGGCGCGCTGGAGCCGAGCGCTGAAGCCACGGCCGGCAGGAGGCGCTGAGGTCCCGTGCCCCCACCCACCTCCCCCGGGGCGCGCTCTCTAATCCGCGCAGACCCGCTGACTGCTGCGGAGTCCCGGCCGGCAGGCCAGCCAGCGGGCGGGTGAATCGTACCAGCCGAGATTGGGCGGGAAGCCGCCCAGGGGCGCTGTTCTCCGCACCTGGACGGCTTATTTCCCCGGCCTGCTGCTTTGTGTAAACTGCCCCCCACCCACCGCAGGCTCCCCACATCTCGACTCCCCCCTGGAAAAAGGCCGTGGTCCACCGAGGTCGGGGCTGCGGATGGAGTGCCCCGAGGGGAGGGCACCCGCCCCGCGGCCCCTGGGCGGCCCCCTTGGCGCGGCCCTTTGTTCCCTGCGCGGCACTCGGGACGGCCGGGGGCAGCGCCGGGGGCTGGGGCGGCAAACAAAGAAGGCGGTGGGGCCCGGCCGGCGCCCCCTCCCCGCCCCTCCTCTCGCTTCACCCGCGGGGGCTGCGGCGCCGAGAACAAAGGGACCGGGCGGGGGAGGGGGCGCCGCGTGTCCCGGGCCGGACAAAGCGCGCGGCCCCGGCCCAGGGCCCTAGAGGGGGCGAGGTGTGGAGGAGAGGGCCAGGGCAGGCCGTGCCCAGCGCACCCACCTGTCCGTTGGCCTTAGCGGGGGAAGTGCCTGCTGCCTCCTCGG